CCCCCCCCCCAAAAAAAAACAAAACAAAAAACAAAACAAAAAAAACAAAATGACAACACCAACAGTGATAACGTCCCATAGCATTGATAAAAGTTACAAGACCACGAGCGCAATATGTTTTGAGCTAAAAATCATCTTTATGTTTCTTAGAAAACTAGGCACTTAAATGTTTTATTTGATAATTAGAAATTAAACGGATTGTTTTGGGGTTATATAGAATACATCGCAACAAATGTAGCATCGGTATTATCGCATCACCCCTAAAACATCACATAATAGTTCGCTATAGTAATTCTAAAACCTAAACAAATAGTACTCTTTACCTTAAGACCATAATCATGTATTTGTATTGCTGTGATATCGCTATGGCGGGAACGCATATAGCGGACGTCGCTATAGCGAACTATTATATGACGTCATAAAATATGACGTCACATTATCTACTTCAAATAAAAAGTCTGAAGAATCTCCTTGACGAGATGAAAGTACGCAAGTCTCGTTGTTGATCATTTTTCTTTTTATATTATTACTTTGTCCGATGGATCATTTTTCTGCTTTTATACCCGTATGTGAATCAATCAAAAGTCACTATTTGGAATCAATGCACATCGATGATATATTATTATTTGAAGTGTGCAATTAGAAATATAAATCACTAAGGTATTATATTCTATATTATTATCATGCCAAATCTGATTTATCTCGAATATAATCCGTTTATATAACAGTCGTTGGTATATCTAGGATATATTTCCACCATATAAGAATTGTTACTGAATCTGACTTTTGTAACAGCTGTAGGATGTGTCGTGATTTCACTTCGGTAAACGGTGAAGGAATCCATGCAGAACAGTGACAGGAAATGTCTCCTAAAGCGTTGTGCCATTCTGCTTCATCTGTAACATTAAATAAAGTACCGTACAGTGACAAACGCTATAGATATTCAGTAGCATCATGATGGTTTGATGTAGTGTGTCTCAGTACTATACAGTGACAAAAGCTATAGATATTCAGTAGCATAATGATAGTTTGATATAGTGTGTCTCAGTACTATACAGTGACAAACGCAATAGATATTCAGTAGCATAATGATGGTTTGATGTAGTGTGTCTCAGTACTATACAGTGACAAACGCAATAGATATTCAGTAGCATAATGATGGTTTGATGTAGTGTGTCTCAGTACCGTACAGTGACAAACGCGCTAGATATTCAGTAGCATAATGATAGTTTGATGTAATGTGTCTCAGTACTATACAGTGACAAACGCTATAGATATTCAATAGCATAATGATAGTTTGATGTAGTGTGTCTCAGTGCTATACAGTGACAAACGCTATAGATATTCAGTAGCATAATGATGGTTTCATGTAGTGTGTCTCAGTACTATACAGTGACAAACTCTATAGATATTCAGTAGCATAATGATAGTTTGATGTAGTGTTTCTCAGTACTATACAGTGACAAACGCTATAGATATTCAGTAGCATAATGATAGTTTGATATAGTGTGTCTCAGTACTATACAGTGACAAACGCTGTAGATATTCAGTAGCATAATGCTAGTTTGATGTAGGGTGTCTCAGTACTATTCAGTGACAAACGCTATAGATATTCAGTAGCATAATGATGGTTTGATGTAGTGTGTCTCAGTACTATACAGTGACAAAAGCTATAGATATTCAGTAGCATAATGATAGTTTGATGTAATGTGTCTCAGTACTATACAGTGACAAACGCTATAGATATTCGGTAGCATCATGATGGTTTGATGTAGTGTGTCTCAGTACTATACAGTGACAAACTCTATAGATATTCAGTAGCATAATGATAGTTTGATGTAATGTGTCTCAGTACTATACAGTGACAAACGCTATAGATGTTCAGTAGCATAATGATGGTTTGATGTAGTGTGTCTCAGTACTATACAGTGACAAACTCTATAGATATTCAGTAGCATAATGATAGTTTGATGTAATGAGTCTCAGTACTATACAGTGACAAACGCTATAGATATTCGGTAGCATCATGATGGTTTGATGTAGTGTGTCTCAGTACTATACAGTGACAAACTCTATAGATATTCAGTAGCATAATGATAGTTTGATGTAGTGTGTCTCAGTACTATACAGTGACAAAAGCTATAGATATTCAGTAGCATAATGATAGTTTGATGTAGTGTTTCTCAGTACTATACAGTGACAAACGCTATAGATGTTCAGTAGCATAATGATGGTTTGATGTAGTGTGTCTCAGTACTATACAGTGACAAACTCGATAGATACTCAGTTGAGTTCAGCAGAAAACAATTGAAGCAAACATCTGTAGAAGACGGTTTGATATGTGTTTAATGGGTTAGGGAAAGTGTGTATTTGCATAATAGCCGTGATGCATTTGAAAAGAATTTTACATCTTTTACAACTTTTTTATATCAGCTAACATTTATTACTCATCTTCTGTAATTCCCTATTTGTTTTATTCCATTTGTATATAACTAGTACATGCAATACTTGACGAATTCTCAAAAGCAAATTATTTTTAACCAAAGAGGGCAAATGCTGTATGTTTTGTAGACGTCAAATAACAATCAATGTTTAAACCTTCTGTTCCATAGGCTTAATGTTTTGATTTAATCGGTCCTATGATACACACCATCATTCAGGTGGGAATATTCCTAATTAAGTATTACTGTTATATGATTACTTTAAACCTACATTGCTATTAAGGGTTGTGACTGTTGTCCGATTACTGGACTGGATAATTGTTAACCTTGCCGGATATAACCATTCTGTGGCGGTTGATTATCACCCGGTTTGGTGGTACCTGCCAACCTCGAAGTGACCCAAGGTAGATCACATGAGGTCGCGGTCCAACGTTTTGTTGAGGTGGTCCCTGCGCCTGGTTGTGAGATTCTGTAGGGGAACATCAGACAGAAATGTTTGTTACTAATCGAATTTATGTTTAACATACCTCTCATTAACAATTAAATGTGTAAGTCTGGATATTCCTTTTCAAAATATTGCTTTTAATACACACAAAAACCCACTTACAATTCTAGAAAGTTAGAAAGATTATACATGTACCCCTGAAAGCTACAACTGCAATGGCCATCCCTGATTTATGACGTATTACGCGCTTATGCTATTGCAATGACCCAAAACGGGTTAATCAGGAAATTACAGATATTCCAGCAGGTCAGCAACCAAACTATACTATTTCCAGTATCTCAACATTAGAACCATGGAAGTCTTGTGCCGTGACTACAAAACTATCATTGATGATTTCTAGCAATCACATAATACATTGATCAGTACCTGAACAGACACACTATATATTGGCTAGTACTACACAATAGACCGATGCGTTGTCCAGTGTCACAGTTTAACATCATAATCTAGTGCAATGTCAATCAAATATCTATAACCAAATTATACACTGACCAGTCATATTCAGAAATTAATTAAGGCATTGTTTAGCACCTTTAAAACAGTAATGCACATTTTCAATGTTCAGTAACTGACCTACCAAACTTCACATTTTCCTATACTTCTACAACCAATTTACACATTGCACACAGACACTTGAAATCAAAACGTTACCGAGTATCTCGCAGCGCATTTAAACATTGCCAGGTAGTTCAACGGGAAAATTACATATTGTCCAGAGATTAAACTACCAAACAATGTATAGACATTATGTAAAAAAACATTTTATATAAATTATACGTCCAGTACATCAGCAACCGAGTTACGAAACTATAAACCTAAAAGGTGTCCATCACATAAGAAACCAATCTATACAGTGCCCAGTACCTCAACAATTAATCTCATTTACCAACATAAATGCCCAGTACTTTAACAACCAAATATAAAAACCATGTACCTCCGTTACCACATTTGATACTGTCAAGTTCCCGACCAATAAAGCTTAAACGCTCAGTATTTCAACAACAAAATTAAAATGCCCAAAACCTCAATAGACAAACTTTATATTGTAAAGCACCTCATCAACCAAACTTTGCATTATCTAGTAGCTCAGCCGCCAAACTTGCCCGTACTTCAGCAACAACAACACATTGCACATAATATCGAAAATTCGATTATGCGTTAACGAGTGTCTCAGCTATCAAACTTATCAAGTACATCATCAAGCTATAAATTAACCAGTACTTCAACAATTATCAGTTGTGTTGATTAGCTCAATCGCCCGACTTGAAATTTTTACATTGTCCAGTACCTCACCAAACAAAATGAAACATCTTCAATTATTAGTAACTCAACAACAAAGCTATGCCTTGCCTACTACCTTACCAACAGTACTGAAATTGTCCCAGTACAGAAAAAAAGCAAAATACCCTTAGTGCAATATGAGGTTAACAAATTATACATAGACATAGATCATGAACAACAAAACTATGCGCTATCCAGTACCTCAACAGTCAAGTTCTGCAAACTCAACCATTGATAAGTTCTCTAGCAACCATACAAGACAGTGTCAAGGAAATCATCAGCAAAACTCAATGTTTTACATTAAAACAAATGAATCGTACACTATCTTCATTGTTTATCACCTCAAAACTAAACTACTGAATGCCAATAACCTCAACTACCACATTTTGTATGTTAATTCCCTCAATAACCAATATATTCACTATCTAGTAACTCAACAATCAATCTATGCATTGTCCAATACATCAACAACCAATCTGTACACTACCCAGTACATCAACAACCAATCTGTACACTACCCAGTACATCAACAACCAATCTGTACACTACCCAGTACATCAACAACCAATCTGTACACTACCCAGTACATCAACAACCAATCTGTACACTACCCAGTACATCAACAACCAATCTGTACACTACCCAGTACATCAACAACCAATCTGTACACTACCCAGTACATCAACAACCAATCTGTACACTACCCAGTACATCAACAACCAATCTGTACACTACCCAGTACATCAACAACCAATCTGTACACTACCCAGTACATCAACAACCAATCTGTACACTACCCAGTACATCAACAACCAATCTGTACACTACCCAGTACATCAACAACCAATCTGTACACTACCCAGTACATCAAAAACCAATCCGTCTAATGTCAAATACCTCTAGAACTAATTTACACATTGTAGACCAGTTTATACATTGCCAAAAAGCCTCAACAATCAGTATATATTGCCCAGTACCTCAACAATCAAAACATAGTCCAGTACTTCAACAACCAATATGAACATTGTCCAGTAACTCAACAACCAAGCAATACATTGTCCAATACCTCGACAATCTATCTACACATTGTCCAGTGCTTCAACAACCAATCTGTACACTTTCCAGTACTTCAATAACCAATCTGTCTAACGTCCTACACCTCAACAACCAATATACACATTGTCCAGTACCTCATCAGCAATTTGTGCAATGTCCAAAGCCTCAACATTCAATGAATACATTGTCAACTACCCCAACAACCATTCTTTACATTGGCCAATACCTCCAAAACCATTATAAACAACATCCAGTACCAAAACAACCATTCTATACATATTCCAATACCTCTAGTACTATTAAATTGTATTAGTCAAACCCCTAAATAGCCAATCAATAAATTATCTATTAACTCAACAACCAATATACACATTGTCCAGTACCTCAACAGCAATTTGTGCATTGTCTAAAGCCTCGACATTCAATGAATACATTGTCCAGTACCCCAGCAACCAAATAATTGTTCAGAACTTCAACAACCAATAGAAACATTGTCCAATACATCAAAAACCACACTATACATTGGCCAATACCTCAATAAACAATATATACACTGCCCAGTCCCTCAATAACCAATCTATACACTGTCCAGTACCACAACAACTAATTTGCACATTATCTAATGCATAAAATAACATTCCATACATTGTCCAGTACCTTAGCAATCATTCTTTACATTTTGCATTACCTAAACAACCTATCTATACATTGACCAGTACCTAAACATTCAATCTACACATTATCCAGTACCTTGAAAATCAATCTAGACACTGTCCACTACCTCAACAAGCAATCAACAAAAACATTGTATTCCTTGTCCATTTCTTTACAATTTATCAATACATTATATGTACCTCAACAACCAATCTGTATACTGTCCAGTACCTCAACAACCAATTTATACATTGTCCAAAGCCTCAACAATCAATCTTGACAATGTCCAAAGCCTCAACAATACATGTATACAGTATCTAAAGCCTAAACAATCAAACTATACATTGCCCAGTACCTCAACAACGAATTAGTACATTGTCCAAAGGCTCACCAATCAATCTATACATTGTCCAAAGGCTCACCAATCAATCTATACATTGTCCAAAACCTCATCAATCAATCTATACATTGTCCAGTACCTCAACGATCAACCTATACATTGCCGAGTACCTCAACAATTAATATATATACGGTCCAGTAACTCAACAATGACTCAATACAATTTCCAGTACCTCAACAATCAACATTGTCCATTGCCTCGCAATTTATTCTATACATTGTCCGGTACCGAAACAACCAATTTATACATTGTCCAGAACATCATCAATCAATCTCTACAATACCCAGTACCTCAACAACCCATCTTCGCTGTGTCAAGTGTCAAAATAACACATATGTTTGATCTGTATTCACGTTTTTGTAGCCATGGACAGGATATTCATATTTGATTCAAAAATGTATATGCTATTGTACCCCAAAAATGTTAAATAGAATCGAAGGCGCATTTAAATGTGCATAAAGGAGGATACCTTGAACGTCCATTTTCATATATCGGCACATGAGCCCTGCAGAAACGTTTTATATTTCTAAAACAGAATTATGTTGAAAAATAAGCATATTCCAAGTAAAATTTCTTAAAAAAGAAAATCACCCTTTTTCAATAGTGATATTGATGATTCTACAATAAAAAAATATAAAGTGCATATTTTCAACCAATCAAAACCGTTTTAAATGCATTTCCTTAAGAGCTTCTTTTTATATTGCGCTTTTTCAAAAATCGATATGTGCTTCTTTTAAAGTTATATAAATAAAACTATACCACGTTTAATAAAAAGTGTGATCTATGAGAATTCAATTTATATTTCTCTGGTCAAACCGAAAGTAACAAATCAACGTGGATTGCGATCACGCGACATCCGCCTTAACGTAATATCCGGTTTATTAATAGCATTTAGGTAATACGTGGTAAAACCTACAATCTTAAAAGTTAAATAGCTTACCATTTTCTGAATAAATTACGTCAACACGTTATTTAGTAACATTAATTTTACAGCGCAAAATCTATCTTTCCTTATGATACACAGGTTAGGGTTTGAAACATTTAAAATATTTACAACTATAGATTTTAAAAAAAATACAACAGTATTACAGTATATTTGATACACTTACGTGAACGCTTTGTTTAATGTTTGTAAATGACAAAACATACTTGTAGTGTTAGCTTTAATTTATTTACATGTTAAGCAAAGGGAAAACGTGCCGTGAATAATTACAGAAACCTCAATCTGCAGTCAGACAAATCTTTCTAACGTCTGTTATTAATACAATTGCATTATCTGTCAAATTTATGCTTTTTAACCTTAAAAATTAAAATTTATATGCATTAAAAGCAAGGAACCTAAAATAATTTATAAATACCTTCCTCTGTTGTTCATTGAAATCCAAATACTGGTATATCCAAATATGCTGTTGATTTTGTAGACAACGAAAGAGGGGAAACTACAAAAAGTATACCGAATTGTAAAAAGAGTACCGAATTATGAAAGGAACTGCCGCACTACAAAACTCATTCCAACTCATAATTGATGGAATGAGGCAGCATATCAACAAAGGAAACATTAACAGAGACCCTTAACAAAAGAAAAGACAAAAATATGCCTTAGTCTTTTGTTTTATCATTTGAATCTATATCAAACTTAAGAATTGAGGAAGGAAAAAGAAAAGATGAATAAAATAAACCTCTTTCTTTCCACTGAAATTCTCATCAAATGACCTTTTAAACGAACACACAAATAATTTTAGAAAATATAGATACCCGCCCTTCCCTCGAAAGAGTAAGAAAAACATATGAATCTGAAATGTCTCCATTCAAGACAAATACTGATTACAGGATTACAACACGTCTATGATAACAGGACTACAACACTTCTATAATAACAGGACTACAACACGTCTATAATACTGGAATACAACACGTCTATAATAACAGGACTACAACACGTCTATAATAACAGGACTACAACACGTCTATAATAACAGGACTACAACACGTCTATGATAACAGGATTACAACACGTCTATAACAACAGGACTACAACACGTCTATAATAACAGGATTACAACACGTCTATTATAACAGGACTACAACACGTCTATAATAACAGGATTACCACACGTCTATGATAACAGGATTACAACACGTCTATAATAACAGGATTACAACACGTCTATAAAACAGGACTACAGCACGTCTATAAAACAGGATTACAACACGTCTATAATAACAGGGTTACAACACGTCTATAAAACAGGACTACAACACGTCTTTAAAACAGGACTACAACACGTCTATAATAACAGGAGTACAACACGTCTATAAAACAGGACTACAACACGTCTATAAAATAGGATTTCAAAACGTCTATAAAACAGGATTACAACACGTCTATAAAACACGATTACAACACGTCTATAAAAACAGGACTACAACACATCTATAAAACAGGACTACAACACGTCTATAAAAACAGAACGAAATATGTCCTGAACCACTCAAACAGGTCGGAGATAAAACATGGTCGTCCGGTATCCTGCACCAAGTGTAAAAATCCTTCTTTTTAAATTTGAACATGAACGTTAGTATTTATCCTTTAAATGATCCCACAACGACTGACAAGACCGACGTGTCTCTGCCACGTCATTGTATAATTCCATATACACAAATACTAGTAATTTTAATCAGATCCTTATCTGAATAAACACAATCAATATACGTATGTGCCACTTCTTTGTCATTACAAGCACTACAGGTAAAGGACAATCAGTATTTTTTAGTATCGCAATTCAAAAAATATTGGCTGTCTATATATAATTCATTAACACAATCGCCATTGTGAACAGTAAAACGGGACAAAACATATTTGCATTTACATGGATCATTTTACGTCACAAGCCTTTTATCTATGTTGATCAACAGTCCGCTATCTATCTAGTTGATCGAGTTAGTTTTGGCATATTACTGCTTACGTATAGTCTCGTTAAAAACTATGTGTTGCGGTCACAAGTTTCGAATTTTTAAAGTGATAAAGGGATGTAAATACAACTGACCACTTTTGTTAATTTCTACATTTATTTCGAAAAACTTCAGGATGTTTTTATTATTTTGAGATATAGTACAACATATGTTTCAAAATTGATCGAAATGAAAAAGGACAAAAGTTACGGTTCATGTGACAATCGTCAATTGATTCCAGTAGGCAAACCCATTTGCAGATCGATGTTGTTTCAGTGCATTATTGATCAGGCAGTTTTGACATGAGTTAAAGTACATTTGTAGGTTAAAAACCAGAAAAAGACCTAGATCGGTTGCAAATCTGTATTACTTTGGCCTTAAAGGTCAGGAGTGTACGTTTGTTCACAGCGGACTTCTAAAACGTTGCTTGAATTATGGCTTTTTGTACCTAAATATGTTACGCAATAAGTACAAAAAGCTGTTAATAAAGACATTTTTGTACCAAATTATTCCAGGTGCAATATGTACAAAAATGTCGTTACAAACAGTTTTTTGTTCTTAATGTTGTCATATATTTAGGCACAAAACGTTGTAAGTCAAATAACAATATGATAGTCCGCTGTCGACCATCGTAAGAGTGTGGCTATTTCTGTGATTAACAGCGCTATGGCTTTGGGTGGTCGGGTGGCACTGTTGATAACGCACTCGCCTTTCACATTAAGACCCCCACGCGCTAACATCCCGACCAACAAGAGTGGTCAAGATAAATTCTATAACTGTCTATCATGTAGAGTATTACAAATCTAGAATCCTTCCTCCTAACTTTCAATGTCACGACGTTTGGTGCGTTCTGGTGTCACTTTGTAATGGTCCCATACGGACAATGCATATTCAAGTAGTGGGTCTGACCAGGCCCTTGTTTTTTTAAACGTAATCTTTAGACTTCGCCGGTTAAAAAACAAGGGTCTGTTTGCCTTACAAATTATGTGTTTCTAATGTGGATGTCCTGCTGTGAGTGGCCGATTTCAATAAAAAGAAACTAATACCGAGGGGTCAAGCAAACTAAAATTCAAACTCAAAATCTTTTAATTTGGGGCACGATTCAGAACTCTTGGAAGGATGCTTTCTTGATATTTCGTCTGTATTAATTGTTCTGATCGAGATTCTGTCCTTGTAAACAAAAAGGTTGAGGAAATGTAGTGCCATTCTATGTCATCTGATGTCGCAGATTATCCTCATCACGTTGCGTTTCAACTACTTTAGTTTCCTACGTTTCCTACCATCGATTTACTAATTTATATATACATTTATGTTTGTGATGTAAATACGTGTTAGATTTTCTAAACATATACAATGTAATGTGTTTGATGCTGTATATTATTCAATTACCAAATTGACCGATTAACCTGTTACTCGATCAGAAGATTGTTCGCGTAATCGGTTACCAACATATGACCAGTTTGACAACCCAAGTATTTACACATTAATCGATACTCAACACAATCACAAAATCATCAACTCCCTTATACATAAAAAACAACAGCATTGTTTCAAAAGACTAAAGCACAGTGTGTCTTAAGTTACAAGTATCAACTGAATTATACGAACGGTAACAAATCAAACCATTTGAAGGTACAAAACAGAGATATAAGCCCATTCAATCTTTTAGGTTAATTTCATGGCTATAAACAGTATAAGCGTATGCGTGTGTATTTCATAATGTCTGGATATGCTTCTCGTATGAGTGTTTTTGCCTAGATATGCTGCAAATGTATGATCACATTGTCTGTATATACAATCATGAGCTTGCAATAATTGACACTACAGACTATTTTACCACAGTGGTTGTCTTCAGTCTTCACTTAAAACATCATCAACCTGAACGACATACTACTTTAGCAAAAGTTCTCTTTCTTGATAGTTACATCCATACTCCACTTCCTACAATGTGTACATGTCTCAGTTCATGCGGTATGTAAGAGCTTGCTCCGAATATCATGACGTCCGTGATAGATGTCGACTACTGGGAGACAAACTAACAATTGTTTCATAGTCGCCATTACGATCTCAAAGGAAATATGATTTTACTGTGTACGATATGCTGGTCGATGTTTTTATTAAATTTCTAATATGTCTTCAGGTTTTATTGTCAGTACCAAAAATCTCGCTTTGAGGAGGTGCTATTACTTGGGTTTGACCTAGATTTATATGGCAGATGTCGTCAATGAAACAGAAGATGGTTACCCTTCTGGAACACTTCTCCTTCCTTCTACTTTTACAAGGGTAGCCGTTTAAAAAAAAATGGGTTAAAATTTTCCAAATTTGTCGATTTTGAGTTCGAATTAATATTTTTCTGACTGTTGTGCATTCTCATTTTGCTTATTTCATGAGCATGTGCATCATTCAGTCTATATATTGAAGTTGGTATGTCATTATGTTAAAACATAATATATGTTGGATTGTGTATGTCTTTATGTCAAGACACAATATATGTTGGTGTGTCTATGTCATTATAACTGATCAGTGTGGTTAAAATTACATTTAGAAATGATATGTGTATGAGTAAGAATGTTACTGTATTAAGACATGACATATGTACATGTATGAGTGTGTAAACATAATTTTGCTAATTAGAAACCAACAAAACAATGCACTCAAATTATCATTCATTCTATACGTTTTTTCATTGATGTAGCAATGTTCATCTTTTACGGAAACTACCCTGTCAGACAAATGATATGGTGTTGTAATGATCAGATTTACTCCTTCAATGTCATTGACATCAAGGGTATAAATGTAGTACCGTGAAAAATATTGCATTAAATATGTTAGAATACATTAAGATTTTAGTGCATATCCATTTTATCTTTCCTTTGATTTTATCTTGACTAGTCAGTTCTTTCTGTCCATGTGATCGAGTTCACATTGATACCTCGTATTTGGCAATAAGCTACATTACTTCGTGTTTAACATGGTTTTATTTGAGATTCATTTTGTCAATTTGTATCTTTTCTGTAAGGCTTACTGTACATGTAATTATACACGTGCGTGTTTGTACGGATTCCACGTGCTTCCTGTGTGTTTTATGTTTTTGTTTTGGAGTTAAGTAGCTAGTGCATGTGCGTTATATACCTAGTATTTGTTTAAAGCTTTAATTTGTTATAGTATTTTGAGGGCTTCTTGTTTATTCTATTCTGTTACTTATTAATGTATTCATACCGAAGATAAATACAATTTGCTCCAATTAATACATTACAATAGCGTTACATTGGAAAACAGTAATAGACTAGGAAAGTAGATTAATACAGTTCGTTGTCCATCTCCGGTAGGAGGAGCCAAGACTAATAAGAACACGTGTTACTTTGATTTATTGTTGAAAGTTAAATGTATTACAAAATGACGTCCTTTCAAAGTGCAACGTCAATGTGCTAGATTTATTTTTCCGAGTATTAACAGAACTGATGAAATGACATTTAGGCGGTGTGTAACTTATAAGAATTACAATTCTTTCGAAACATAGAATGATCCCCTTCTTGCAATGAAATAAATAATCCGTTAAAGTTTTTTTCGTAGCAGATAGCTGTTAAATTGACTTAATGAAACATGGTTCATGTACACGTAGTAAGGACAATTAGTAATTGCAAAGTACACAATAACAACGACACTTACCTACTTATATTTGAAGTTCCTCTTAATTAATATAGAATACGACAAACCTCGTAACATTTCCTTGTCATGAGCAAAACAAACCTGATACACGTACTAAGGAGATTCTGTTGTTCCGTGTACAAGTAACACAATGTTTACTTTTATAGAAATATCAGTCTGTAAAGTTTCCTTATAGAAACTAAAAATATTTCCGTGTCAAACATGTTTCGGGGTCATTGTGTTTCTCGTTCCCTTGTGTGTCGACGGGTTAATATATTTTTTCATTTTGTGTTGACGCTGTTATACAGTTGTGTGATCGCACAACGTAACACGATGTGCTGCGTGTGCACGATATGTGCACGATGTGTGCACGATACAAATATGGACGATTATTGCTTGCGCACATTTGTACGGACTATGGACAAACGTTGTGCGATGACAATCGTGGTTGGTGTTAACTGAAATATGGTTTAACAATAAATACGCATTCATGTTTTAACATATAAACTTGACTTTTAAAGTAATTTTCTATATTCTACTACATTTTTTAGCTGATCTGTCTATAGTTCTCTACAATTTAGAAATGGTATTTCGACGTTTTTGAACGACCCAAATCGATTCTCATAAAATTATAATGCATATGACATGGTCCAATATACATGTAAACATACATCTTCGAGTATGAATGTCGTAATATCAAGATATACAAGATGTTGGTGTTTGTAGGTTATTATGTCAAGGTATACTAAATGGGGAGCGTGTATGTCATTATGTCAAGACAAACTGTATGTTGAAGTGTGTATGTCATTACGGTAAGGCATACTATATGTTGAAGTATGTATGTCATTATGTTGACATATACTATATGTTGAAGTGTGTATGTCATTATGGCAAGACATACCATATGTTGAAATCATCTGTATGTCACGATGTCGACACAAACTGTATGTTGTAGTGTGTATGTCATTATGTCAAGACATACTATATGTTATAGTGTGTATGTCATTATGTCAAGATAAACAGTATGTTGTAGTGCGTATGTCATTATGTCAAGAGATACTATATATTGGAGTGTGTATGTCATTTTGTCAATACA